TTTGAAAGGTCTTTACCTGGAATAATAACTTCCTTTATATCTATCTGCTATGGTCACCGGGTGTCTTTAGTTTAGGCATTTCCAGTATGTTTCTTCTAAGCCCCCAGCTCCATTTTCATCATCCATTTCCACTTTGCCAGGAATACAGAGTCGATCTAGTCTACAATTTCCACCTCAATCAGTGGGAATTCACTAATTTGCATTAGTGGGACTCTATTTGGCACCGCATGGAGGAAGAAGTTAAAAGTGGCAAGGATAAGACTTGTCGCTCTGGGAAAATCTTGGTGCTACTAGATGAAGTAAGAGGAAGTAATATGATACAGAAAAGTTTGAGGAATAAGAAGTGAGTTAACGGCTTCAGCCCTGAAGGAAACTGAAGTCTAATATTGTGCTGTGGGGAGGTAGGGAACCTGTGGGGTTGGGAGCCCCCATGACAACCACACACCCTCACACAGCAATGACTGCTTCTTGAGGGGGCGGAAGCTTAAAGTTGAAGGGCTGGCTTTTCCTTCTGGTGCAAGAAGTGGGCTGGTTACAGAGGGACCCAGCAAATCTGAGCTGAGACTTGATGACGACAGAGACCGGAAGGACAGACACTAGAAGGCATGGCCAGGTTATAACTCTCTTTCTGAATTTCCAGTCCTCGAACCTCTTATAACCATGATGTGAAGGAATGGATGGGAATAGTAGCAATGGGGAAAACGCTGTCTGTGACCGGCTCCATCTTTAGACTCTGATTGGTTTATGGGTCTATACTTAAATCTTTGCACTATTTTTTTGGTCAAAATAAAGGAAATGCAGTGGAAAGAAAACCAACCTCTACTACCCCTTTCCCTGGTAGTCTTGAACTCACCTGTTACAGTAGAGTTGAATGTTTTCACATGTGCATGCTAAAAGTGTTTTTCCTGTATCATTATCAATAAGTAAAACATCGAAGCTTGAATCAAGAAGGAGTTTGCACATATTTCTTCCTGTGTGCATTTTAAAACACACTTGAAATCACATGATGGTGTATAGTGCAAACACACCTTACAAGATACATTCTCCCTTAATTAAAAAAAATGCACACATTAGAAAGGACAGTTTTAATCCCTCCATGGATAACTCTGTGGTGTTATTTGAAACAAAACAAGATTTTACCCTGCAAACTGGCTGTAGAAGATGATTTTCTTCATACTGCGTCCCCTGGGGTACAGGAGGCATCTACCTCGACTTAGAATGTGCCAGCATCCTGGATGCCTTTAGTTTAGATATTTACAAATCTTGTTTGAAAGCACTTGTGGATTTTATTTTTTGAAGTTGAAAGCCTTGAACTCCAGTCGAAACAATAAGTAGCAAGTGAACAGCAAGCCATTTACCTGTGGAGCCTGAAAGGACTTGTTCTTGTGTGCCTCTTGATCAACAGGGAACCCTGGTCACTGTGTGCAATAGCGCCTCTCGTGGACTTTTTGCAGACATTGCGCCCCTGACTTTGAGTTGCAGAAAGATGCCCCTCCCTGTTGTTATGGATGGTGGCTGGGTGTGATTGGTTTGAGGAAGTTTAACTTGACACAACCACTTATGTTCCCAGAACACTTTCATTTGCATAGCTGCCATCCTTCCTCCCACCCCCCTCCCCCAAAATCAAAAAGCCCGTGTGAGCATCAGACTGTGCTTGGGCACATGAATCTTGCTCTGAGAGAAACACATGGTTTTCTGACTCAGGGTCTGAATTTTTTGGTTTGTTTTCCCCCCTCCAGAGGAGTTTCCTTTCAGCTTCTGCAAAAGGAGATGAACACAGCCCTTCTGAAGTGGCTTCAAATTTCTGTGATGGTGCAGACCTCTCTAATAATTAAACATCAACTTCCCAATAGTTTCCCTTTAAAAGATAGAAGTAAGTCTCTACGTTCCAACTCTGGCTGGTGTCTTAGAAAACAACCTGTGTTAGATTATATTTAATCAAAGTGCGATTTCTCAGTGAGGGAGACAAACACAGTGTTACATTCTTATGACTCAAAAGAGACACTGTTAAGCTTTAATAAGGACTTTCTTCTTCTTTTTTTTAAAATAAACCCATCGTGCTTATAACCTACAATACGGAATCACATTTTACAGACAAAAATAGAGAAAGAAACAAAGTAGCATGACATTAAAGATAATACACGGATAGGACAAGGCATTGAGGGTACATCCCAAACCACAGTGACATTTGTGCAATAGGCATTGTCCACACTGCAGGGGAGGAGGAAGCTGTTGGGGAAGCTGCCCTGCTCCAGTGGCGGTGGAGTGGCAAAGTCCCTGGTGCATGTTCCTGGCATGTTCTCTGCTCTCCTTCAGTACCTGCTAGACAGATCACAAAGGTCTCCCAGAGAATAGCAACAGATGATCTCCTTGAACGTTTTCCTCAGCTCCTGACTCCGGAGGGCATAAATGAGAGGGTCGATGATGGAGTTACACATGATCAGGATGAGGTACAAGTTGAAGTGAGACATGAAGCACACACAGTAGGGGTTCTGGGGGCAGGAGATGTAGAATATCAGGTGCAGGAAGAACGGAGCCCAGCAGACCACAAAGACGCCGATCAGGATGGTCAGGGTGATGGCCCCCTTCATGTTGGCCCCTTGACGGATGGCGCCAGTGCCGGGGAGGACCGCGATGCGCTTGATGTGGAAGCGGGCCATCAGGAACATGTGGACGTAGAGAGACGCCATGAGCGCCAGCATGGTGAAGAACATGGTGATGAGGCAGATGATGACAACACTGCTGTCTGAGTAAATGATGAACAGGACGCCCGAGACCGTGCACGCAGCCCAGATACAGCTGAGGATGATCCCGACCCGCTTAACCGTCATGATGTTATGGTACTGGAGCGCATAAAAGATGGTGAAGTACCTGTCCACCGCAATGGAGAGCAGGCTGCAGATGGAGGCCAGCAAGGAGCTGCAGATGACGGAGTCGATGACGTTGTCAATGTTCACGGTGAAGCTCTGCGCGTCCGTGTCGGTGCTGTTCAAGAGGGTGATGACGATGGTCTCCGAGCCATTGGACACGCTCACCAGCATGTCGGCCACAGCCAGGCTACAGATGAAAAAGTACATGGGCGAATGCAGATTCTTGTTCTTGGCGATCGCCACGATCACCAGAATGTTCTCCAGTAAGCTGATGACACCCAGAGTCACAAACACCTCGGGGGAGACAAACAGCTGCTCGTAGCAGCCTGCGTCCGAGTAGCCTTTACCCAGGGGCTCGCTGGCGTTGCCGGGCAGCCGGTAGTTGCTATGGTTCCAAAAGTGCAGAGAGGTGCGCGTCCCGGGCTGGTGCGTGGAGTTCATGCTGCCTGTCCGGCTTCCAGGGCACCCCCGCCCTGGCAGGGTCTCCGAGTCAGCGGCCCAGGGCTTCCCCCCAGGTCTGCCTTCGTCAGGAAGTTCACGGCGGGGTGGGGTTTTTCAGACCCTTTGAGGCAGGACTCTCCCTACCGTGACTTTCAAAATCTTGGGCTTCCACCTGCTCCATCCCAGGGACGCCACTCTGCCTGTCGCCGCGTTGTCTTCACTTCCGCTCTAACTTTCGCCTCCGGACGCCCAGCCCTTTTCACAGGACGTCCCCCCAAGGAGCGGCGGGGCCCCGGGGAGCCCCCGCGCGGCTCCCAGCCTGGAGCGCGGGCCAGAATGGTCGCCGCTGTGGGTGGGTGCAGGCTGCTGATTTTTATGGAGTGTGGAGGGGTGGGTGGGAACCATACTTAGGGTGGCTCCTCCTCCGCTTCCTTTGGACCAATCCAGCCGGACTGCGGTGGGGGCCCGGGAGACACCCGGGAGGCTCCAGAGATGCACTTCTCCGGACCCCTGGGAGTCAGAGGCAGGAGCTGCTGCAACCACAAGTAGGCAGCGGGCGGCAGCGAGGGCGGCCAGGCTGGATTTCGCTGCACATGATGTCAGGGGAGTAACTTGGAGACATTCTGTGATAGCGCAACATCCGATCACAAAACACACAAAATGAAGTGGAAAACATACTACGTACTCGGGAAATAAATACTTGGATTTTTTTTTTAACCACCATAGCAAATCTTTCTGTCCTCTCCATTTGAATTAGGATCCCAGCGAATAAGGCTTCCCTTTCAAATGCCAGCAGAAACAGGAGATATTTTAGACAGAGTCTATGTTATGGATGGAAAAACTATAATGTGTTACAGTTGTTTCTCTCTCTCTCTCCCTCTGTAATGCTGTAATATGCTTTGGCCTGCCACCCTCAAGGTTAGCAGTTGGATACCACCAGCCTCTTGGTGGGAGAAAGATGAGGCTTTCAGCTCCCATGACCAGTTTGATCCTCTTGGAAACCCACCAGGACAGCTCTGCTGTGCTCAGTTCCTCTGAGCCAGAATCGATTCAATGCAAGGATGTCGTCTCATTTCCAGCAGCAGAAATTCTATGATCCGAGCCAGAAAAGTTGTCTTTTCCTTTGGGCTATTTTAGATGTATTAATTAATTAGTTGAGTAAGTAAGTCTGCCAACTCTGAACTCGGGGAGGGGGGAGATCAGTTGGGTCATGATCTGGGATCAGTAGCTCTTCGCTTGTTTGTTTGCTAGCGTCCATCTAGCTCCGACACGGCAGGCGTTGGAAACGAATCCCTCAACCCCCTTGGCAATTTAATTCAAGTGACGACTAATAGTTGCTAGTTATTGTTCAGAGTTTCCGAATGTTTGCTCAAACGCATTTTTAAGCTCACGAAAGACTATCTAACACACATGCCTTTCCATTGACTTCACCAGCAGGCTGTGAGATTTTGTATCCCACTCTTTCTCAGCGGTGGCTATTTGGGGTTTTAAATCTCTCTCCTGTTACCGCCCTCCCATCTCCCTCGTCTGTCACTAGGGTCACCGTGAGCCCTCGTAGGTACATGTCAGAGCTTTATCAAAGAAGGAGTCTGGTCCCCTAACGCCTGCACAGAAGGACCCAAACCTCCAACTCCATCCACCACCACCCTGCCGCCCCCGCCCCTCCCCCCGCCCAGCTCACCAACTATACTGACCTGTGCTGTGAACCATGTGTTTTACTGCGGTAATCTGCTGAGCTATTGGCGTGGAGCCATTACAGTGTGTTATAGCATCTCCAGGGAAACATCCAAAAGGCCATCTAAAGACACCTGGGAGTGGGGATGGGAGTTTGAGCTGAGCTCCTTTCAGTTGTTCCTATTTCCTACTGGGTTGCTGGTTTCCTGTGTGATTGTAGGCTGGTGATTTCCAAAACGACCTCACAGTTTTGGATTAGGAGATGGAAACCGGTTAAGCTGACATGCCCCAATGTGTGCTGTTCTTATTTCAATAAAGATGACTCATCTGCTTTTCTCTAAGTCTCTGGTTACCATTCACAGTTCTAGAGAAGTTGATGATGCTATTTTTGACCATTTCCTTGTTGACCTACAGAGGTCCTTACTCTGCCACTTTTGCGGAGAGCACCTTCTATTCATTGCCTTAAGACATTAAATAGAAATGTGTTTATTGAAGTGCTTTCCCACTCGTCTTGACTCTAGATGCTTTTAGCACTGTTTCTCTCCGAAGGAGCACCCATTTCCTAGCTTCACTTTAACTCCTCCAGGCCTGGGGATCAGCCCACACATGAAAGCACTGCTTCTGCCTTGCTAACAATCATGACGATTTTATAGGATCCTGGGTATTCAACATCCTTCATGTAGGATGGATACATCACCTGCTTTACATTGTGTTTGTTTCACTTCTGGGAGAGAGGATGGTGATCCTTTGTCAAAAGCAAGCTCTTATAAAGAGGTTATCACTGTTAGACAGCCATTATCTTTTATATGTAAAACTTTAAGAAAGTTGTGTTAGATTAATCTATGTCAGGTTTCCTGTGTGTTTCTCCACTAGGAATTGAAAGGTGGGAAGCTCAGACTCACACAGATGTTGTTGTTGTTAGGTGCCCTGGAGGCAGTTCTGCGTCTGGGCCCCTATGGATAACAGAACGAAACACTGCCTGGGCCTGGGCCTGGGCCGTCCTCACCATCTTCATGCAGACACTGTGCCAATACACTGCACCCTCTTTTTCTCTGACCTTCTACTTTAACAAGCTGATGTCTTTTTCCAGGCACGAGTCCCCCTGACAGCGTACCGAAACTCTGTGAAAGGAAGCATGGCTATCCTTGTTTCTTAGCAATATCCTGGCTGCACTTCTTTCTACACATATTTCTTCCCTTTTTCTTGCAAAGATAGTACATTTATATATTTTTCACCAATATCATAATTCAAAGGCATCAGCCATTCTCTGATCTTTTAAAATCCACTGTCTGTTTCCACATGAATCTGAGGCCATTGAAAATGTCATGTTTGGCGTCAGGAACAGTTTCGTTTGAAGGTGGTACGTTTGCTCCTTAGCACGTTAAAGAGGTCTTTTGCAGCATATTTGATCAACGCCATACCTTACTTGATTTCTTGATTGCTGCTTCCAAGGACATTGGCTACAGGGTTCCAGTAAATGAAATCCTTGACAACATTCATCTTTTTATTCCAAATCATTTTATTTGGACATAATCCAGAATCATACCATTAAATAGTACAGTTATATCAAGCAGGGTTGAACAATTGCCACCACAATCATTTTCAAAACATTTTCCCCCTTCTTGTATTCCTTGATGTTGGCTCCCCACTGCCCCTGACCCCTGCTGCCCCCCCAGAAACACTTGTTCTACTGATTGTCTTTATAGTTTCACCCAACTTGGGTTTCATGTACTAGAAAGCATAGAACAACACATAACAGAGTCAAGAATGTTAGCAACAATAACAAAGTACAACAGATATAAGCCCCGATTTAAAAAAAAAAGAGAAAGAAATGATTAAAAACAAGATCAAGATCAAAGTGTATCAAAAGAGAGATCAAAGCACAGGGTTCACCATTCCAGTCACATCTGACATTGTGATCGTCTATCGCCATCTCTCCTGGTCTGACCACAAGGTTATCCCTTCACTTATCACAATGCTATGTCTATGTCCAGTGGTAAGGAATTTTCTTTTCTTTATCTTGAGCTGGAATACATACGGAAGGCTATACTCTATACTCTGCATCAATAAAAGGTTCAAGTCATTGTGGCTTTCAGCACAGAAGCCTATGTTATCTGTATATTGAAGGTTGCTAAGGATCTTCCTCCAAACCTGACACTGCAACCGTCTGCAGACCATCTTGGGAGGTGGACATGGCAATGCGCTTCCAAAGGTTCGCATCCCTTTTGAGCGATTCTATTCCGCACAAATGGCACCACCAGGAACTGCCGTTAACTGGATGGTAACTGCCAGCAACAGCCTTCCTAGACAGTCTTCCTCTCCTTTCCCTGGAAGACTGGGAATTGGACACATTTACTTGTGGCAATGCTTGCATTTTGCCCATGGTCTACGGAATAATAAAATAACTGGTGGAAATTTTGAATATAATATGAAAGGTTAATTTAAGAAGAATGATGAGTAACATTACTAATTGGGAGCAAAATTATTCATTTTCTTTTGGCTTCTCACAAAATAGGGTTTGATTAAGAGACACTCAAATCAAATTGAACTCCCGGAAAACAAAGTACTTTAAAAACCTCGACTTCAATGTTTTGGTGTTGGTTTCCAAGGTCTTGATCATCCCTTTGATCATGTTGAAGATATGATGTTTGTTTATCTCCAAGGAGGCATTTTCACTGTTTCCCATGGTGGGTTATAATGCCCTACGACCCGAAGGCATGCGACCAGAAATATTAGATGCATTAATAACAGTATAGAATTTTATTGCAGATTTCTTTTTGTGATGCATATCATATCATGTCATATCATAATTTATTTCTATACTGAGCCAAATCCTGGTCTTATTGTCTTAGCAGTAAATATGAAACATTACAGCAGGAGAGTATGGATCCCATTGGGCTAAATGAACATATTACTTTGAAATATTAACAGTTGCTCTACCACCAAATAAGAGTGGGGGAGAGTCCAAGGTCAAATGCTGTTAGAAAACACTGAAAACTCAACCACTCTCCTGAAGTTTTGGAATTTACATTAGCTTAGTAGTCTCTGAAGTTTCCTACACTTTCAAAGATAAGTCGACATTACTTCACTCACTTATTTCCTACACTCTTTTGAGCATCAATAGAAACAGCACCCTCCCACTTTTGCATCCCCATTATATTTCATTTTTCTGTAACACTGGCTTTAAAACCCAGTGATTCTAATCTAATTGATGTATCAGGGAACATTTTGAGCAGACAGCAAATGTTGTGCTTGGTTTTGAGCAATTTTGTCCAGAAAAACATAAGGGAGATGGAGAAAATTCACCAGCTGATCAGAGCGTTGGTGTTGGCTGCCAATGAGTCAGCCCCGACTCAGAGGGGCCCTCATACACAACAGAGTTTACTGCTGCCTGGTCACGCACTATTCTCATCTCAGTTGTGGATTGGATCAGTGTAGTCCACAGGAAAGGTGTTCTTGGGTAAATTTTTCAGAAGTAGATTGGTAAGTCTGTCTTCCTAATTTATTTGACTTTGAAGCTCAGCTAAAACCTATTTAGCATCACGTCAACACCTAAGCCTCCTGAGATGGAGGAACGATGATTGTGCATGAGGAGCAGTGGTCACAATCAGACCCGGGCCT